AGCTCCACGTTGTAAGATAAACACTTTCCAGGCAACTGGAAGAACAGTTTGGAACTCTTGGGACAACAGTTTAGAACTGATAGAGTTATCCAGACAGTATAAATAAAGTTATATTACACTGTAAAAACAGATTAGTTGAAACAATCAACAAATTGGTTATCTCAAATTCAAAATGGATCTGCGACAACCAATTTGTTGGTTGTTTTAACCAATCTGTTTTTACAGTGTAGTATAAGTTTCCTCCTGTGGCAACACTTGGGCCAATAAGGAAAGTCCCTTAAGGGGCGATCTTTACCTAGGGAGAAAACCTTACAACTTAAACAGCTATCCAGTTTAAATCAAGTTTAATTTAGGTATCCTCTATTAACGTTATACCCTAGGATAAAAGACTTGTACTTGTGATTCTAATTCTTAGGTTTACCTTAATGTTATTAACTTATGGCCTGTATACATTGTTCTCGTTTTAGCTTGTCAGTTTGTGGGACTTCATTATTCCAGTTATCAAGAAAGCATTAGATAACATCACCGTAGAGACAATACGTGATTGGGGCACCTGTATGGCCACGGCTGCTGTAAGTTACATGTGCAATGAATTCGCATTTCAAACGTGCCAGTTGCCAGTACAAACACCGCGGAAAAATGTCTGCGCATGCGTCAACCTTACCTGTAATAGTATTGCGAACTTGATGAGAAGCTGTTCCGAACGTTTCCGAAGGGTCAAAATGGCGGTAAAAAGGAGTGACTTCATTGTGCATCTTTACAGCCAGATTTCGGGCGCGAAAATAAACATGTCATTCTAAAAACTAGGAATAAATACAGCCAGAAGGTTCAAGAAATTGTATTGTACAAGAACATGAACTAAAGGTGATTGTTGACAAATTTATCGTCTGGAACATTTTGTTTATCAACTAAGCAACGACAATTTCCGAATTTTCGTTTGAGATACATTTCTTTAAAAAAAACTGTGTCGCCAAATATAAAAAATTTTCGTGTTCACAATAATTAAACTTCAGGATTTATTCTACAATTTGAGTGGGTTAAGAAGCTTAACTTTTCGAGAGTTTTCTTAACTTTTTAGTTTGAATTTTTGTTTTGAATAATTTTGCAAAAATTTTCGAAGTCGTGTCCGTTAAAATCAACAATTTTTTACATGAATTATATTTCATTCCATACTTTAAATGCCAGGACGCTTTCAATTAATGTCTAGTCTACCCATTTGCTATATTTTCTCGTTTTTTTTACTAATTTTTGACCAATTAATAAGCATGTTTTTGTTTTAGAAATTGATATTCAAATTTCCCGCCATATTTTCATAATTTGGTGCATGCGCAGACGTTTTTCCGCGGTGTTGCCAGTACAGGGTAGATATATTCTACTGGGGCCGGTTGTTCAAAGCTGGGTTAGCTTAACCCTAGGTTAACTCAAAATTCACAGTAAACTTCTTGACAGCTTGTCTATAAATTTGGAAATATTTCTTCGGAGATCTTGTCTGGATCGATAAGAGTTTACTTCTCTAAAGTTTTGAAATAAACAGACGTGCAGAAATACACAAACTAAAACAGCAGGTTAAATTTTAACCCAAGGTTAGCGCTAACCCACATTTGAACAACCAGCCCCTGGAAGTTTGCGACTAATTTACATTTCAATCTTTTTCGAGCGCTCTTCTGCAAGTAAATATTTTTTTTTAATTATTTTAAATTGTTTTCAAAAACTCATTAATAATTCATGAGGAAAAGACCAAGGAAATCAATATCGTGTAGGTGGTTTTATATGTGATCAAAAATCTTGTTGATTTACATGAACTTTAGCTTTGATTTTCTTTCGGCTTAGACAACGTATTACTTCGCCAATGAACAACCCTCGAAATTCAACTATTTTTGCCTCGGCAAATAATTGCCGAAGCCTTTCGATAATTTTCGAGTTTGCCTCGGCAGTGCCTCGGCAATTTTTTTTGGCGAGGCACGCAATGAAATCACCTTAAATTCCTTCGGCAATTACTTCGGCACCCTTCGGCATTCACGTCGGCAGTTGTAATAAAAGTAAAGTACATACGGAAATTATTGTAAACAAATATTGTAACGAGCGTAGATTCTGAGACTTCTGACGTTCGACAATTTATTGTTATTTTACAAATTCCTGATTCAAAATGTTTTTAAAAAGTTAGTGGTAATTTACAACCAATTGTATGAAAGAATAAACTTGGCGGTAAAATCACGCGACAGTCTAAAAGATAAAACAAAGTTTCTCGACGTACCGTCTTTAAACCATCAAGATTGTTCTTTATTTCAACCGAAGCCGACGCTGCATGAAAAGCTCAAATTTAAATATTTTGTAAAGTAGCTATGAATGAAATCTTCTGTTGTCCACCCAACGTCGATGACAACAATTCGAACAAAGAAGTGATACAAAAAACTAACACTGTAGTTTGTATATTTAAGAAGAAAAAAACGAACAGAAACTGTAGTTTGTAAGTTAAGGAACAGCGGGTGGAATTGCCTCGGCATTTTTTTGCCGAGGCAAACTATGAAAAATCGTAACTTGCCTCGGCATTTGCGTCGGCAATTGCCGAGTGCATGCCGAGGCGAATTTCGAGGGTTGAATTGAACTCATCAGATGGGTCCCAATCAGGGCGTATATCTGATAAAGCGCTCCTGCTTGTGTTTTAAATAGTACATAACATATTATAACGTGTCGTTTTCAGGAAAGTAGAGATCCGCGCCGAATCTACCGCTTGCTTGATTTGCTTATGGATGATCCCTTGAACGGCAGTGGTGGAGCTTTTGCTGATAGCAGGTAACGATGTTTTAATGCTCCTCCGTGGTTTGTGACTGAAATACCTGAAAAGATACTTCGACGTTTCCAAGCGAAGACATTTTAGTAAGAGTTTATAGTAATGGTCATTATTCCCTTTTTAGTCGCCTTTACGTCCTTCAAGGAGCGCTGGCTCAACAGGAATGGAGAGTGGCTGAATTACTTCATGATCTGCTGAAATATATTGAACCAAAACTTGGACATTCCTACAAAGATGTGCGAGATCGTTTGGGAAGGTAAACTGACATTTTTGAAGTGTACCTATATAGGAAAGCTCTCAGTTTTCAACTGTTGTCTCTAGAGGTCCAGTAAAGACCAATCCACGTGGATCCAGTATTGTACAGGAGGAAACCTAAAAAAACTGGATAGCTCTACAGTACGACATCTAAACTGTACTCCATTGAGGCCCAGTTACAGCCACCGGCTTATTGATCCAGTATTTCTAGAGGAGACATTGGCGGCCAAAAAATGGTTTAGTTGGGCGCAATGGGTCAGGGTACATGCTCCCCCAGAAAATTGAGAAATGGCATTCTACTCTCATCAACTCAATATCTTCATGGTATATCAAAACATTTTAATGTTTTCTTTATTCTAGTGTAACATGTAACATCTTAATGTGTGACATCAAGCTAGCTCGAGGCACGCCCTCTCGTTCACCGCGAGTAGTCGACTTCATCAAGACAGCCTTGCCACAGTTATGTGATCTGAAAGACGTTGACTTGCTACAAAATAACTGCGTTGTAACCTCGGATGTTGTAATGAGTGCAGAGAAAATCATGGTGGATGATCTTGAATGCATAGATCTCAGTGCAGATATAGATATGGTGTCTTTGAATCCTACCGAATCCTTTGAAGAGGATGATAAACGAAAATCTGCAATCAAATTGAGCAAGACAGGTAGCTATAAAACATATTCAAGGTTTTTTGTAGATGGAGAAAAAACATGACCAGCCAACAATTTAAAAAGTAAAGTAAAAAACAAATTCCGAAAAGACATCTTGAGAATACAATATATGATTCAAAACAAGAGGCAGGTTGAGACTGTAAATTTTTTACTTTATTTCAAAGTCATCATCTTCTGTCTGAAGATGACTTTGAAATAAAGTCGAAAATTCACAGTCTCGACCTGCGTTTTGTTTTGAATCATATATATTGTTTTCTCAAAATGTCTTTTCGGAATTTGTTTTTTACTACAAGTTCTTTGTAGGATTGCATGGCGATAAAACAAAAAATATTTTTTGTTTGTGGAAACACCACGTAAATTTATTATTGTAAAGCTTTCGATCCTTAAGCCCGGATCTTCATCAGTGCTCATAATATGTGACTTGTTCAATTCACACGCCCTTTGATATACCAAAGTGTCGTGATTTAATTAAATTTCAAATGACGCTAGCCATCAGATCACGACACTTTGGTATGTAAAAGGGGCGTGTGAATTGACCATTTGCGTAATAGACTAAATTTTGATTTCAACAAAAATTTCATTACAGCTTTAAAGAGCATCACAAAATTAGTAATATTCCAAAGTTTCGTTGCAAAATGTTGTAAAATGCGGAAAATATAGCCTTGCGAAATTTGCAAGTTTCAGTCATTTTAGATTACAAACCGGAAATTGACAGCCTCGAAGGGTTTGAGGCTGTCAATTTCCCGTTTGTAATCTAAAATGACTGAAAATTGCAAATTTCGCAAGGCTATATTTTCCGCATTTTACAACATTTTGCAACGAAACTTTGGAATATTACTAATTTTGTGATGCTCCTTCAAGCTGTGATGAATTTTTTGTCTAGACTTGTTTAGTTCAAAATTTAGTCTATTACGCAAATGGTCAATTGAACAAGTCGCATATTATTAGCACTGATGAAGATCCGGACTTACGGATCGAAAACTTTGTAATAACAAATTTACGTGGTGTTTCCACAAACAAAAATATAGTACAACTATTGTTTTCTATTTCTCTCCCAAAAATGGGTGTTTTACGCTGATAATAAACATCTTTCGAGTTTCTTATTTTGTACACGTAGAAACGCACAAGTTGTTACAGGTCTGCAAGCAAATTGTTACTGGTCTGTTCACAAGCTGTCGACAAGTTGTGTTCGCACTGCTTGTTCCCAGTTGTTGTAACAAGTTTGGAACGAGCTGTTGACAACTTGTAACAAGCTTGTCTGCTTGATTACATTGTTAGACTTGTAACAAGGTTGTTCCAACAAGTCTGATACAGTCATGATATAACAAGAATGTTACAAGGTTGACGACACAAGGTTGTAACAATATTGTTATATCACGACTGTATCTGACTTGTTGGAACAACCTTGCAACAAGTCTGATAATATCAACAACGTTGTTTCAACTTACAAGTTGTTAACAGCTTGTTCCAAACTTGTTGCCAACTTGGGACAAGCAGTGCGAACACAACTTGACGGCTTGTTCGCAAACTTGCTACAGGATGTGGGATTTTTGTGCGTGTAGTTATCAAACAGACTTTACACACGTAAAAACGCACAAGTTGTTACAGGTCTGCAAACAAGTTGTTACTAATCTGTTCACAAGCTGTCGACAAGTTGTGTTCGCACTGCTTGTTCCCAGTTGTTGTAACAAGTTTGGAACAAGCTGTGAGCAACTTGTTACAAGCTTGATGGCATTATCAGACTTGTAGCAAAGTTGTTCTAACAAGTCTGATACAGTCATGATATAACAAGAATGTTACAAGGTTGACGACACAAGGTTGTAACAATATTGTTATATCATGACTGTATCGGACTTGCTGGAACAACCTTGCAACAAGTCTGACAATATCAACAAGCTTGTTACAAGTTGTTAACACCTTGCTCCATATTTGTTGACAACTTGGGACAAGCAGTGCGAACACAACTTGACGGCTTGTTCGCAAACTTTCTACAAGATGTGAGATTTTTGCGCGTGCAGTTCTCAAACAGACTTGTATTTGAAGAGGAATTCAAGGCGATAGTTGAGTTAATTAATGGTGGTTAATGGACCTTTAACCTTATAACTAAAATTTTGATCTCGACAAAAATTTTATCACAGCTTGAAAGAGCGTCACAAAATTAGTAATATTCCAAAGTTTCGTTGCGAAATGTTGTAAAATGCGGATAATATAGTCTTGCGAAATTTGCAATTTTCAGTCATTTTAGATTACAAACGGGAAATTGATACCCAAATCGGGTGTTTGGGTATCAATTTCCCGTTTGTAATCTAAAATGACTGAAAATTGCAAACTTTGCAGGGCTATACTATCCGCATTTTACAACATTTCGCAACGAAACTTTGGAATATTACTAATTTTGTGATGCTTTTTCAAGCTGTGATGAAATTTTTGTCTAAATCAAAATTTTAGTTACAAGGTTAAAAGGTCCATGAATTGTTAGCGTGTTTTAGAATCAATGCTAATGACTTGTTTCGGAAATTTCATTTATAGTGTTAAATTGGTTGTGGTCCAACTCATCCCGAAGTCTGGAATCATGTCCAAGTGAATTATTTGAACTACTTCCATTGGTAAGCAATAGATGAAGAATTGGAACGACAATTATACCCTTCTTATTTCTTTACTTCATTCTTAATTTCTTAAACTAGATTGTACCGTTGGAATCTCAGGAAGATGACCAAGAATTACAAAATCTCTGCTCCAATGTGAGTGTCCAAGTTTCTCTTCTTGGGAAAATAAGTGCCGATCATCCGGTAATTAACCGGCAAATATCGCTTGCCGGACACGCGTGATAATCCACCGGTCACGTGGACCGGTATACTTTTTCAGATTCACTTCGACGCCTGACTGAAGAGTGCTTCCAGTTTGGACCTTCGAGTGGCCATTAAGGGGCTGTTTGTATGGTCCCGCTTACCCGGGATTCAATGAAGTTTGAAGTGTTTTGAGAGAATTGAAATAAGTCGCACTTCATGATCTAACAAAATTGCTTGTTACAAATTGTATGAAATTCCATGTTTTAGACAAAAAACAAATGTTGTCGAATGCTATCAATCCTGTTCTTCCACTACATAACTTCTAGAGCGTTCCTAATTTCGTTTAAACAATATTTAAAGTTATCTAACTTTTGCTTAGGGCTGAAAAACGTATTTCAATTGTTCAAAATACTTCACACTTCATTGAATCCCGGGTAAGCGAGACCATATAAACAGTCTCTTAGTCTCGTTTTATTCTGAAATTCGCTTTTGAATTGTGGCATCGTAGACAGTGCCACTCTGACCCCTACCCAGTTATGAGTACATAAACCATATCGACCAGTGGACCGAGGAGTGTGATGCATGTCCCATCATGCACCATTGTTTTTTCAATCCTTACTCAGGGACTGGGTACGAGTCAGAGTTTCGCCTGTTTTAAATTTTGCTCGTAGCAACCTGAACGGAAATTATCATGAAATAGTTTACGTCCTTAAATAACGTAGCCTCGTAAAATTTGTGAATCAGGAAAAAATCTCGTTCGTCGTAAACACAAGCAAGTAAATTCTCCATACAAGGCTTTATCCAAGTATTAAAGAAAGTACGTATTCTAATCATCGTTCGTTTGTTAGGTATTGGCCCTTCTTTCCTATTGCCTACTTTCATCTGAAGCTCTCTCTCAAGCAGTCAGCACTATTACTAAGGTGAGTTACGTATTTGAGTTTGTGTGTTTTTACGCATGCGCGTAATTATTTCTGCTTTCCAGTTTCCATTGTTTGCTGGCTGGGGTTAGTGTGTAAGTTTCATTTTGGAAGTCTTGACCATTCGCACAGTCAGACCCAAATGAACTTTAAATTTCAAAAACTATAATAGAATTAAACATTTCGCTATACCGAAGATATTTCACCGAATTTTTATTCTGCGCATGCGCGAAATGTGTCAAATGCATTTGTCCCACAAGCCGTACAACTGAAAACGTAATATATAAAGAGAGGGCAAAATATTTGTTAGTTGGAATTAGTACCCTCGCTATTGTGTGTAATCGGGTTCAGCAGTCTGACGAATTCGTCAGGTCTGCGGTTCCTTGTAAATTTAGGTTAGTCTAACTAATTACTAGAAATACATATATGCAATAGCAGTTTTTGGAGGTCTGACTACTCGCGCAGTCGGACTTATAAAGTTTAAAAGCAATAAAATACTTTATTTGATGCTGTCTCGTTGTAGCTACAGTGTAAACCAGATTTGGTAAAATATTGGAGAATTTTAGTAATGAAATTATTTTAGAAAAACTTCTAGAGATTCTGATAAAATTCGGTGTTTGAATCCTGTGTAATAGAGATGCTAAAATGAAATGCTAAATGATTGATGAGACTCCAAAACCGGTAATTTCTAGCATGGAATACACTGGTCACATTGTATAGTTACGCAAGCTCAAGTGCATGGAATGTTGTTAAACATTTATCTCACGTCGCCTTTTGTTTGCCAAAGCCATAGAAATATTTCTGTCCACTTGTTTTCCTTGGCGGCCGTACACACGAACACATTTTCCTGCAGTCCAAAAGCTGTCCTGACTAATTTTGCAACAAATCTCCTTGGCAAGGGAAAATTGTCAATTTTTTGCCTTACGCACGCGCAAATAAAACTTGTCAATGACAAATTGCCCGTCTGTATGGGGTTTTAAGGTTATTTCCTATCCTGGACGCCAATGAGTCTATTCCACTGAGCTATAATATAGTATAGCTCAGTGGTCTATTCCCAAAAGAGATCACAGTGCATTCTGGGATCATTTGGAGGGACAAAATATATGGTGACAGGCGTCAAATATGTCTAATCTAGCCTTTTCCCAAAAGAGATCACAGTGCATTCTGGGATTGTTTGGAGGGACAAAATATACGGTGACATGCGTCAAATATGTGAAAGAGTCGAAGTACAATCTGCTATCAAATTTCAACTTTTTAGACGACCAAAAATGAAATATCTCTTTTTTACATTAAACTTGTAATTTAAATGTGTCCTGCCATATTTCTTGTCCCTCCAACATGGGATTCGCGCGACTGGACCCAGGACTTTGGGAAATGGCTAATTATCCTCTGTTCTTCTTTGAATAGATCGCAGAAAGTCCATCCTGGCATTCAAGAAAGAGTATCCTGACGTTTCTCCAGGTATCGCATGCTTTTCTTGCACTCTTAACGTACTTACGAAAGATTTTCTACCAAAAAACTGGTCATTCAGCCTCCAGCCCTCGGTTGATAACACAAATTTTGGCTTTGATTAATGGTCCATTTGCATTATAGACTAAATTTTGATCTAGACAAAAATTTCATCACAGCTTGAAAGAGCATCACAAAATTAGTAATATTCCAAAGTTTCGTTGCGAAATGTTGTAAAATGTGGATAATATAGTCCTGCGAAGTTTGCTGTTTTTCAGTCATTTTGTATTACGCACGGGAAATTGACAGCCCAATCGGGTGTTGGGGCACTGAAAATTGCAAATTTCGCAAGGCTATATTATCCGCATTTTACAACATTTCGCAACGAAACTTTGGAATATTACTAATTTTGTGATGCTCTTTCAAGCTGTGATGAAATTTTTGTCTAGACTTGTTTAGATCAAAATTTAGTCTATAATGCAAATGGTCCATTGATGTACATACATGAACCTGCAGTTAGAGCTGGACAACTAGACTCAGTTGGTTAGATCGCTTCACCCCAATTGTGGCTAATGTGGCTTTGTTATCCTTGCTTTGGGGCCCCCTTTTGATCTGGGAGTCCGGGTCAAAATGCTCTTCTGCCCTCGCGGCGGCCCTGTTCATTATACTATAATCTGTGTTTTGATTTTAAGGGTTTGGTTTGTGGCAATTTCTTTATGGTGATTGAAAACACAAGTCATGTGACGAGTATTCAAAGTATTGTGCTCAACTTACTCACTGATAAACAACTGGAGGTACGAAGTAGTGAATCTTTTAGGGTTTAGTTGAATTACTGTATCCCAACACTATACTTTAGATTTAAAGTAGATTACGGTTAAACTGTTAAAGAGATGTTCAAATCGAGTTAATGTTTTTTGGCTAGCCAGGTTTTTTCTGTCCTAACACGATACAGTACTTCAGGCTAGAAATAGTTTATAGTTACGCAGATTTTAAAATAAAATTTGGTTACCGAACTTCAGACATCATATTCTCTTTGACTTACCATCCAAAATCCCTCCACTTTAGCATTATTTTACAGATAAAGCTCTAAATATACTGTAGTCGTAATCAAGTGACATTATACTCAGTTTTGAGCGCGAAAAGAAAATGCTCTTAACGAGATCCATGTATCCCAAATTATTTCTTTTCCAAGGTTCGTGAGGCAGCAAGTCAAACACTCAGTGGTCTAATTCATTATGGGTTCTTTAAGGTGGA